TTGTGTCGTTTGGTGTAGAGTTTATTATTATTATTTTCGTAAACGCTTATTGAAACCTATAAAAGAGAATGGGAATGACATTTCTCAACATTATGTAATTTCGTTAATTTTTATCATTTTCTATTAACGTAAACGATTGTAGAAAGTTAGCTTAACTAACCTCTCAGAACTGAGGGAACTGAACGTCTGGCTTTTATATAGAGATAACTCTGTGTAGCCTCGTCAACGTCTACGGCGACCCAAAAGATGGCAGATACGATATGTTTATCTTTACATTTATCTTTATCAACTTCACGATACAATGAGGCAATTCAGAGTACGATTTGAACAGCATAAATTAACTAAGTACTTACTTAAAGTTGTAAAATATTATAATATTATTTCCAATCATTATCGTATTGAGATCGTACTAAATATATTATATGCAACATCTCAATAATATATTATGTGAGCTGATGTTATAAAGAGTAACTAACTACTTTTATTTTAGACAAATAATTAGGGTTCCGCGAAAAAAATCCAATCGTAATAAATTCCACGCGGAGGTAGTCGCAGGGAGTAGCTAGTTATTAAAATAGTTAAAAATTAAAAATTTTGTACAGCTGACTTCAGTACAAGTTATTAAGAATAACTCAAAAACTATTGGTCTGACCTTGATCAAATACATATGGGACCACACGAGAAGTACCAGCTTTCAAATAAAAAACAATCATCGAAATCGGTTCACCCAGTAAAAAGTTATGAGGTAACACACATAAAAAAATATACAGTCGAATTGAGTACCGTCTCCTTTTTGGAAGTCGGCAGATAAAAGAAATAATGTCAGTTGCAAGTACAAATACTAAGTCTAGAATGCATATTCCTTATTCTAAGAATGAAGTTCTTATCTTAAACCAGTTTATGTATTTCAATAGAGTAGGAGAAAGAATAAGAAATTCTGACATACAGGTTTATAAGGATGACAAACAAACCAGCAGTCTACCATATGGTAAGCTATAGACAACTCCTTCTATCCTGGATTAAGAATCAGAATGCAGATACATCGCTACCCTTGATGATGTACGCGTAGATTGAATACTTCGTTACGAGTAAAAAGTTTTTTCGGATCTCTTTTCTTACCATACGAAACGCACATTTAGCTGCCATATTTCGCTTATGTTCTGTGCGAGCGTGGATCTGTCTCGTTCAAACCGATAATTTATTCCCAATTCCTACAACCTTTCAAATTTATTATCAATAGTTTGGAGTATTAAAATTGTATTACTGATCAGCAATTGTATCATTAGGATTAAATTCAGTAGTTTATTCGACTAATGAAATAATTCACAATCGCTCTTTGGTATATAGTACCTATATACAATTGGGATAAGAAAAAAAGTTTAACTTTTCACATAGCTAATGAAATATTTTTTGTGAGAAGTCGTAAAAATACCTGATTCCCAGAAAACTGCCGAGGTTTTTGCAAAGAAATAGTTCTATAAATAACCCAAAAATTTGAAATAATTCACAATCGCTCTTTGGTATTTAGTACCTATATACAATTGGGAGAAGAAAAAAAGTTTAACTTTTCACATAGCTAATAAAGTGCTATCACCAACGCTGTTTCTTCTGCATATCAATGATATGTTGCTAACTGCTAACATTCATTGCTATGCGGATGACAGCACTGGTGATGCTCTATACACCGGCCGGGCCAATATTTCTCGGGAAAACGTCGCCGAGTACCGGAACAAACTTGTGTCTGAAGTCGAGTCTTTGCTGGACAAAGTCTCGGATTGGGGGCGACTAAATCTAGTCCAGTTTAATCCTCAGAAGACACAAGTTTGCGCGTTTACCGCTAAAAAGAACCCCTTTGTCGTATCTCCTCAGTTTCAAGGCACTCCCCTTCTTGCCTCAGCCAGTATCGGTATCCTCGGAGTCGACATATCGAGTGACGTGCAGTTTCGTGGTCACTTGGAAGAGAAGGCCAAATTGGCCTCTAAAAAGCTTGGCGTGCTCAGCAGAGCGGGACAGTATTTCATGCCGGCACACCGCCTGCAACTTTACAAGGCGCAGGTTCGGCCTCACATGGAATACTGTTCCCATCTCTGGGCAGGGGCTCCCCAGTGCCAGCTCCTTCCACTTGACCGCATCCAGCGCAGAGCGGCTCGAATCGTCGACGACCGAGCCCTTTCCGATCGGCTCGATTCATTGGCACTGCGAAGAGATGTTGCATCTCTTTGCATTTTCTTTCGCATCTACCATGGGGAGTGCTCTGAGGAATTGTTCGGATTAATCCCAGCCGCCAAATTTCACGAACGCACATCGCGGCAGAACTCCCGATACCATCCACACCATCTGGATGATTGGCGGTCCACCACTGTACGATTTAGAAGATGTTTTCTTCCTCGCACAACTTTCTTGTGGAATAGTTTACCACCAGGGATTTTTCCGGACCGATACGACTTAGGGACCTTCAAGAAAAGAGCCTACTCCTTTTTAAAAGGCCGGCAACGCATCTGCAATTCCCCTGGTGTTGCGGTTGTTCATGGGCGGCGGTAGTCACTTACCATCAGCTGAGCCGCATGCTCGTTTGCCCCCTCTCCTATAAAAAAAAAAAAAAAAAAAAAAAAAAATATTTTTTGTGAGAAGTCGCAAAAATACCTGATTCCAAAACACCTGCGAGGTTTTTACAAAGAAATACGCTATAAATAACCCAAAAATTGCAAATAGTAAGGCTTTGAGAAATAAGATTTAAAAGTTGGTAAGTAAGTTACAAATATTAGAAAGTTTTATGAGAAGAGTTTTCTCATTTAACGCACATTAAGTTAACTTTGATTTATCGTATATCGTTTGTTTGACGGTGGCATAACGAGATTTACTGGCAAATCTTGTGGGGAAGACTCGTGTCTCACCACCAAAAAGTACCAAGACGGAATGCCTCACTGCATTGATACTGGCTCTCTTTATTTCAGACTGGAGACGCCAAGCAGTAAGCGCGTCCACTTATCAGAATCAAAGTCGAAAATAGTTAAGAGAAAATAAAGTGTTACTTAGTAACTTCCTTATGATACCCTATTTCATAATATCCCATTGATTTTTCTTCAATACGTGCTTAGTGTTCTGGAAACTCAACATATTTCATCGTTTAAAGGTCTCTGGAGTCCGATACTACAGTGCTTTTGTGTTAGTTGGTGAAAGTTTTTATTTACGAAATATGAGTGATAATACAAGTACCTACAAAATTAAAAATAATTTTGACTCTAAACTATTGCCACATAATTTATGCGTAATGAATAATAAAGTGAAAATAAAAAAAAAACTGATCAACTGTTTAGTACCATATTTTTAAGTATTTAGTTGTTTTTTTTTAGTTAATTTTATTTTAATTTTATTTATTTATAAGGACAACCAACAAGACGAAGGTAACATGAATATCAAACTGAAGCTAAGCGTCATCTTAATTATAGGCTGCCACGGCATGCAAATGTGAACTATGCAACTAAAACTTAAATAGGTTAGTTAATGCTAAGCAAATGAAAACTTAAACATTTTAATTCTTATTTTTTATGTTAAAAAAAATCAAACAATAGGTATAGATACTTGAATCAAACAGGCACCATTGACTCGAGAAACTGACCGAGCTTGCATCTAATTTCAACGGCTTGTCGGAAAAGATGTCGATGTGAAAAAAGCAACTGATCCAAAAACAATCTTCGCCTTCGTAAGCTATTCAGTTTAAAATAGGCAAGACGTTCCTTATATGAGGGCAGCAGTTTGGCTTTGTTAGATTGGTAGGATAGGTGCCAGAGAAATCTCTTCTGTATTCGCTCGATTCGCTTAATATGGACCCCATAATATGGGGACCAAACCTGACTACAATATCTCAAACCCGAACGAACCGATGTCAAATACAGGAGAAGTTTTGTTGAAGGCTTTTTGAATTCCTTCGCATTCCGTCGCACAAACCCTAGCTTTAACCTTTAGTTGTGACTTGGTCTATGTGCTTGTGAAAGCGTAGTTTTTAATTTTTGTTATTAAAACTATATTAACTGATTAACCTATATTTTTAATATCAAAATATTAACCTAACTCCTTTTTTTGCTTGTTGCAGATCAGCTGTCCTGCGAAAGTTCAATAAAAATTTTTTTCAATAAAAAAATTTCTTCTAGAACACTTGAAATATTTAAATATGGAAAAAGTGAATTAAGAGATAAACATGATAGACGACAACTGAACACATACGATATTTGATATTCCTATTTGCACTCGTCTTACAGGAAAAGTGAAACGAATAAAAATGGGAAGCTTAAAAACAACGCACTAAGAGCATTGTAGAGCTAAAAGCTCAACAACTACAGTTTAAATATCAATGCTAAATTACAGACTGGTATCGACGCATTTTTTGAAGCAACCGTAAATAGTTTATAAAAAAACACTAATAGACTATATAAGTGTCGTAACAAAAATATGTGCCGCGATCGAGATATGTCGGTGCAAACGAGTGACATAATCAAATAAAATTTAACCTGACTTCTGACTGTGTGATATCCAGTGTTAATTCTAGTCTTCCGCCAAAACGGCGCGCGTATATGATTCACCGTTACGTTTTATTTCTTTCATTTTATTCTACATTAAGGGATAAGCAATAACCCGGTTGTTAAGTTATTTTTTGTGGATAGGGAAGGGGTTTTGCCTGAAAGCGGGCCCCATTTACTTGACCCTGGCCAGCCGCAGTCGAGACAACATTTCTAGAATATTGGACTCCATTGTAGACGCAGCAAGATATTGTATTGTAAGTGAAATTTTATTTTTATTATAGTCACTTTTGTAATACTTTACTTTGAAGTACTACTTTACTATAAAGCTTTAGCACAGTCACCTGTAAGTCTGTTGAATTTTAGATGAGAGTAGACTGCATCTGTGCCAATGATGATTTAATTTCAGAAACGCATAACGGCCGAAAACTTTTGGAAATTGGGGAATTTAGTTTCAAGTCTAGACTTAAGTCTGAAGCGAACATGGTACGGTTGGAAATAACTCAGGTACTTTTAAAGCACTAGGCAACGGGGTTAGAATCATCATATATAATATTATTTAGTAGCGTTCACAAATTATTAATAAATTATATTGGCCTCGTAAATATTAATACTAGCTTTATATCTATGATCGCTTTTGCAATTACGTAAGGGTACTGGAAAAGTAAAATTAAAATATTACAACTTGCTAATACAATTTTATGATAATTAATAAGCAATAAACGTCGAATTAAACTCATTTTACGAATTTTCTAACGTTTAACTTCGACTAATTTTGAAATTATTATTTTTGAGTGCTTTGCAGTTTGCAGCACCCACGGTCAACGCGAGACTGACTGAGATATTCACGATCCTGATGTCAAAATTGACGCTACCTATATTTAAGTTTTCATTATTAATTTAAGCTCGTATTAATAATAATTTAAGACAAAAAAATTAGTTTAATCAACATATCCATACATAATACTATGTTTAAAAAGAACATATAAAATATGTAAAAATAGATATTGAATTTCTTATAATTCATAATTCACTTTACCAGTCACCCTTTTCTTCAATATCTTACTTATTGCATTTCAAAGACGTTTTGAAAGCTTTTTTTAAAAACTTTTAATAGAATTGGTAACACTTAGAAACTACAGCTTTCCAGCAGAAAAAATAGTTACAAAATTGTTAATATTACTATAAAAAACTAATATAATATTATAAAGTATTGTAATTTTCTATGTACATAAAATTTTATTCTGGCAATTATGTATATATTTATTACACTTTCAACATCTGACCATTCACAGATTGAAACATTTCATTACGAGTTGCAATTAAACATAGCTTTACCACTCATCAAGGTTCAAAAATGTAATGCAAAGCATGTTTGCTTGTAATAGCCGTTATTATAATGTAAGTATAACCCATAATCGATATGTAAACGTGTAGGATAGACATCTAGGGAAAATTTATAGTAGACAATGGCCAGTAATAATTTTTGTATTTTAGGATTCCTTTTTCATATAAGAAATAGAAATAGATTTTTTTAAATACGTATCATATATTACTTAGTATACAACGAAGCCCCTTGCGAGCGTCTGTTCTTCTATTTTCATTCGAGTTTCACCAATAGACCGACTGAATCACGAAAAAGGTTTAGGTATTAAATCTGTGAATATTATGAGCTGATTAGTAGTCATTATATCAAATCTGTGCTATCCATGCGAAGTCAGGGCAGGTTTCTAGTATTTTAGAAACAATATTTATTGATTATTACTTTTTAATTAATTTACCATTGGTTCAGAAAACAGCTCTATCCTGGAAAGATCAAAGTCGGACTCTTAAAGAAAGTACTATCCCAATGTGTCACAACGACATAACGTCAAATCTGAAACTGGCATCTCACTTTTAAAATTTAGAAACTATTACATAGATAATTCATAATTCATTTATTATATATATATATATATCAGTGGAATTCGGAATCTGGAAATTTTGTAACATGGTAGAATAGGTGTGTCTATGGGCCATAGCATCCACTTAACATCAGGTGGACTGTGAGCTCGTTTGTCACGCATAATCTATTAAAAATATTTCTTTGCGTATGTTAACAAATCCTGTTGTAATACAAGTTGAACCCTTATAATTTCGGTGTTTATGTCTGTCCTACTAAGAATGATAGCTTCTAGGGACAAAATAAGTAAAAAATAGGATATTATTTAGAGTTGATTTATTCAATACTCGTATGTGTGTATGGAGTGGAAAAAATTGCCAGTACCATATCATGAGATTCCATATCTATTAAATAAATTATTTAAAAAATGTATAAACCACTTTCAGCGTATTTTAACGAACAGTGTAGCTTTTGTACTTTGAAAAATATCAGATATAAAAACCGCATTGTGAACAATGTCGCCAGAAAAGTAATTTAGTCAGAATCATTACAATTCACGGCGGAATCCCACCTTTGAATGCACTTGGTCAACTTTTATTTTTGTTTATAGTTATTATAAATATTATATTGAATAAAGTTTTAAGTACAGGAATGTATAAAATATATAAAATGTTTATTTTAGTTTTCGAGTATAAAATTATAATAATTCTTACAGATAAAGACGTAAATGTTACATTTTCGAACCTTACCATCACTTGAACTAATTACAAAAATTACAATAGACTATACACCTATACATTAACATAATTGGCTATGGGTAGGGTTACGGGCACAACACAGAGTGCTCGAGCGAGCGGCGGGTAGTAATATCAGGGCTCGGGTGGCGTGCGCAGAGCTGCGAGCGGGGTCGCGAACTTGGGAAGGAGAAGGAAGACATGGCCGCACCTGAGTGCGAGCGAGAGGCTCGCAAGCGACGTGAGCGCCGCGACTCCGGCTGCGCACACGAGCGGAAAGAGAGGAGACCACACAGCGAGGAACGGCTGCCACCGCCTCCGCCTCCACCACCGCTTCACGACTATAACCGTCTTGAGGTATATCAAAACTATATAAATTTTAACATTATAAGACACACTGTTAGTTATAGCTTGTAAAACATTGATTATTATTTTCGAAAACAATTTGATTGCGATGTTAGAGACGAAACGATGACCGTAATTAATGCCTGAAAAATCACCTCAATATTAACTTTAGTTGGGATTTCATCTCTATATTCGAGTGGCGTTACTGAATGATTTGTTTCTTCAATAATCAGTAAGCAGAAAGGGTCCAGGAGGGATTATATTAAATCTTTTTTTCAAATGTCAACCTTAGTCGAGGTTCTGATGACAATTCAATGGATGAAAATTTCGACCATAAATAACGATCACCGGGCTGCATAGGTAACGCAGGCCGGTGATCGTTAGTAGCAATATAAAACTTTCAGTTTTTTTGCTGCTCACTGACCACAGTCTTAGCCCTCTGGAAGAGCTTGGACTACATTCGGACATTGTAAGTCATAGCTGATGGCGTCAAACCAAAAAGATCTGTCATAAATAAAATATAAGTATAACTCACCTTCAGTAGATTTTAAAAATTACACTTTTATAATAGTAAGAACTAACTTTACCTTGAAATGCCTGAAACGATTTTGATAAAACATATCTAAGAACTACTGCTAGAAAACCTGCTTTTAAATAAAACAAAACCGCACCCAAATTGGTTCACCCGTTTAAGAGCAACGGTGCCACAGACAAACACACACACACACACACGCACGCACGCACGCACGCACACACACACACACACAGACACAGACACACACACACACACACACACACACACACACACACAAACACACGCACACACACACAAACACACAGCGGTCAAACTTATAACACCCCTCTTTTTGCGTCGGGGGTTAAAAATATTTTCCACAATAACTTAATAGCATCTGAAATCATTGCAAAGAAAGAGTGAATCGAATAATTCAGGCCATACATAGTTAAAAAAGTAAAGTGAAAGTTAAATTGTTTATTCGATTTATGCTTGTTTAAAGGTCATAAGAAAGTTAAAACTACACAAAGAGAAACAAAATACAATCGAAATGAGAAACTGACCTTTTTTGTAGTCGCTCAAAACTGATAATACAATCAGTACATTTATCCTCAATCCTATAAAAGTCCACTGCTGAACATAGGCCTCCCCATAGATTGCTTCATAGCGGGAATTTTGCCATATCAGTATCAGTACCGTAATTGAAAAGTAATTTGATAACGCAATTAATTTAAGAAAATATTTCTTCAGCAGTCATCTGACAATTCTATGGTGCTTACAGTCCGAACGGCGCGCGGAACGTCTCTCCCGCGCGCGCCGCCCACAGTACGGCGGCAAGCGGCGCCGCGCACCCACGAGACTCTCAAAGCTACCTAAAGAAAATGACAACGTGAGCAGTGAAGAAACACGTTCCGGCACTCCGCCACGCTTCAATTATGTCATCACACAGAAGCCAGAATGTTAGTAATAATAAGTTTTACATATTGGTCAGTATCATCATCGTCATCGACACCACTACAGCCAATTACAAGTCCACTGCAGAGCATAGGCTTCTCCTATTGACTGAAAAAAGCAAGGTCACGAACATTCCATTTCATTTCATTCCAACTATTCTGCATCCATTAACTTTATGTATTTTGGTATACACTCAATTTTATTTAGATCTACGAGATAATACTTCGTGATTTACATAGTGGGTGATCAGTAGTAAAAATAAACTTTAAACGCACACACGCATGCACGCACGCACGCACACACGCAAAAAAAGCTTTTAGTTAAAATTTTCGACTTAAGTTAAGCATATACAAAAATACCAGCATAAAATAGCAGCTTCATGCTGCTTGGTTTCATATGATGAGTGTAGAGGAGAGGAAGAGTAGAGTAAGAGTAGTGTAAAACGAGGCATTCTATCTTAGTTCTTAAGGGTGACAACGCATCTGCATTTTGATTCTTAATCGAGGATAAATGTAAGTGCCTATGGACCACAGCAGCCACTTACCATCAGGTGGACTGTGTGCTCGTTTGGCACCCTTAACCGATAAAAATAATAATAAAAGTTTATTAAGGTTGGCTTTCTTGCGTCAGTATGTCCAGATGCCGAGCGTGTGGAAGGGAGTGTGAGAGACGAGGAAGTGGAATACGCGCGGCGCGACGAGCGCAGCGTGGCGCCGCGTTGCGTGCAGCCCAGCCCCGACCGACGCCTCGAGAAGATCAACAAGAAGGTTTGCATTTGTAAACAGATCAACATGCAGCTCAGCATTATTACTACTTTGTTAAGACTCAGAAGAAATGCCAAGCTTTGTGAAAGAATTACAAGATTCGCATATTTACTTGGTTGTAGACATGTGTCGTGAATGATACGTTCATTTGACCCGGGTCGCATCAAAGTATTGATGATTGAGAATACATTTTTAAACGTACCGGATCATACGATTGACAGGGCCTACGACCATAGAGTATAGTAATGTCCGACGACCGACATTATCGAGTGGTCGACCGGAGCAATCTTACTGAAACTCGAAATGATCCATTTGAATAATCGACCCGAATGACCCGGTTCGTAAGACGAATCAACACTTGAATGATCGGATCACTAGATATGAATGAATGACACATGTTTACTTGGTTGAATAGGTAGTAACCCTTTTTGCCTAGGAGTCCGCCAGGGTAAGTACCAATCTCTTACCTATTTCTGTTTCTAAATATCAGTGATTGCACTGCTGTGTTCCAGTTTGAAGAGAGAGTCATTATAGTTACAGGCTGTGAGACAATAAATCTTAGTCCTCAGAGGTTGGCTACAGGTTTCCAACAACTGTAGTAGCCAGTAAGTTTGTTTGTCACTTCAGTGTAAGAAAAACCAAACATATCCTTTTACAATATCTTAATGCGATCTGTTGCGTGATTCGAACCTGCAGCATAATTAAACACTTAGGTACTGCACAACCGAGCCGTTAGATGATTATTTATACCATAATACTTTAACAAAATAAAAATAGACCTTTTTAACTACCTACTTGTTTCTATTTACGAGAAAACGGTGCAGATTCATTGAATAGTAAGAGACCATCATTTTATTTTATATGTAATGTAATGTGTGTAAGAGACCATTATGAAAAATACTAGAAGAATCTAAGGACTTTTGATAGATAACGGTATAATAATTTTCATTACACAAGGCGTAAAGTATGCTAACTATAAGCTATATTTTCATTACACAAGGCATAAAGTATGGGAGCAACATCAAAAGTGCGAGACGTCTTTATTGCGATCGTCAATTCACTTACCAAGTGTGACGATGAGGAAAAATCCTTGTTATAACGCTAGAGGCCCATGTCCAACAGTGTACTTTTACAGGCTGATGATTGAGACGAAGAAAATCAAATTAATCTATATTATTTGTTATTAATTAATTATACGATTTCTAGATTCAGGGACAGAAGAAGCTATTATATTGAGTTCTGATAACTTGGTAGTGAATGATGTCACTAATTGCTGATTGTTTTTGTTGAGAGATGTTTTCCTGGTCCCTTTTCTGATTATGGCGACAACCTAAAAATAATCGACAGCTATCAAATATTTTATAGTGCCACGATTCACACCACAATGAAGCACTCACTCCTCCCAACCTACCCGTGTTCGATGTAACGATTATGCGGTAAAATATTTTTGCTTTGGCTTAATGCATTATCAGAAACAATTTCACGCTGTAGAGCCACCCAGCAGCTATAATATGATTATATCAGAACCCATTGCTGAGAAGGACACCACCATATCACAGAATACCTACCAGCTTATTGCTAACGTGTTTCGTATGGTGAGTGCAGAGAACCAGATACTCTTTTTACTGGTAACTGGGCGTTCTATTCGTGACAACGCATTTTTAGTGACAATATACATTTTTATATTTTATCTTGAATTCTTAATCGAGAATAAATGAATCTGCATTTATGGTTTACAGCATCTATTTACCATCGATGGATGGGAAGTGGATTCCAATCCTCATATCGACTAGGCACACAGTCCACCTGATGTTTGTCCTCCAACATATTATTCTATATTTTAAAAAAAAGCCTTAAAACCAAGAAAATAAGATTATTTCAGTTTCTTGCTTCTTATTGGTATACGAAACACAAGTAAGCTAGGCACTTGCACTTGTAGAGGCACAAGATTACAAAGGGGTGCAAGGAAGTTTTTAAACAAAAAAAAGTAAGGACCTACGAATACATAAAATAAAAAATTTTACTTTCTATTGAGATGTAGAGTTTCCAAAACTCGCCCCGTCTTCTTATGATTACTCCTACATCGGCATCACTCTTATCACCTAATTATTTTGCAACTGAATTGTAATATACTATACTATAAATTATAAGGGGAATTATTAACCGGGCGAATAAATAACGTATGGATGACTGTTAATGAGATACTTTAATACTAAACCGAGCGGTGTTAAATAGTTTGCGAAAAATTTACTTAACTGGCGATAATTATGAATGACTAAAAATACGTAAAATGTTCTACTAATAGTGGGAAACAGTTATTCTAGGCTAGCAACTAAAATTCCAAGTGTCCGAATTAAATACTAAATTGAGCAAAAAAATACTGATTGGGTGACAGTGGGTTTGCGGTGGGGTTGGGGTGTCCCTTGGGCCACCCTAAAGCCGCGTACATTATAATGATATAAAATATAATATCGAAAGAATCGAACTTTTTAATTTAAAAAATTCAAAAAGTATAAGTCAAAAGTAGTTTTCATATGCTAATAATTGTTTCCCTAAATTAGTCTAGTAAGATCATAGTTATATTACTAGATCGTGCTCATGTCATCTCATTGAAATTAGTTCACTTTAGAATTATTATACTGATCGTTCTGAATAACTCCTAACTCATATTCATATTTTCAAGCCGCCGTTTTCAATATTTGTGTTCGCCCTCAGTCTTTTCCCCCATTTAGTATTTCAGTGCGCCATAATCAGTATATTTAACACCCTTAATTTGAATTTATATTCGGTCGTTTAAATACTACCAAAATTAAAAAGAAGAAACCCAGCGGGACTATAAAAAAAAATAACAGCTTACAATCATGATTTGATTTCAGATTGGCGTATTAAAGAAAAGTATTACAAAGTATGAAAGTGAGTACGAAGCACAGAACGGTCACGCTATAACTCCCAGCGACCGTATAACAGACGTGCAATTGACACGAATGACCGAAACACTGCGGAAACTTCAAGCGGAAAAGCGCTGCATCAAAACGGATCCAGTCGAGTACGCTTTGAAATTAAAAGCAGCTAAACAACAAAAGGAAAGAGATGATAAGCTGGAAGCAGCGCTGAACAGTGATAAACCAATGGGAGACCTCGTTCGCGATATTGAAGAGGTATATTCAATAAGAAGCATGTTTCTCCCAAATATTACAATTTAAGCTTATAAAATATTTACCATCATTACAGCTCTTCACAAGTTCACTGCTGTGTGCTTTCTTTTATTTGCTTCCCTCTATGGAATATTTGCCGTAGTTGCCACGTTTAGTGGGCCAGTTGGCATTTTCCGTTTTCTTAGTAATTATTAGGAAGACGCTGCTATCCATCTCCTGGTTGGTTTCCTTCTGTTGCCTCTTACGATACACACAGGATGATATTGGGTACTGCATATTGATACACTGCAACTAGAAATAGAAGTAGAAACTTTTTATTCAATATAGATTATAAATAATACTTATAGGAAGTCACTTTTATGTATGATTTACTACTGGTTCGTAAAATACCTTTGTCAGCTTTAACAGCAAAATAACAAAAAAATGCAGTTGCCAACCCGCTCGCCAAGCGTGGCAACTATGGCCACTCTAAGTGTATATACCCCAATGATGAGAGTTACGAAGAGACTGCTCTCAGTTCCGGGCAGCCCCGCTATTCCTAGCTAGGGTGTCGACCATGGTAACGGCGGGGCAGGGGTGCTAAGAATCTCCGGCGGAGGTTCGGTTGCCACCTAAGACTACTCGACCTGACATCATATAATGCACGCACCATGAGAACTGATGAGAAGGTACTGGATCTAGAAGAAGAGATGAATAAGTTGCGCTGAAATATTATAGGATTATCCCAGGTCCGAACTCCGAAGAGAGAGGGAGGATACGGTAATCATCGAATTCAGCAACTTGTTCTATCACCGAGACGGCGACCATCTGTCCCAAGAAGGTCTCGAATTTATCGTCCACAAGTCTCTTAGGGTAACGGAACCCAAGAGGCCAACAGCTGGCTGACTTCATGGAGAAAAAGTGACGCTTTATGATGAACTTTTTCTTCCAGAAGCGGTCCCACACAGTGGACCTGGTCGAGCCCCGAAGGTTGGACGAAAAATGAGATTGACTTCATTACGACGACTAGACGGCAACTGTTCAGTGTCTCAGTGATCACGAGGTTGAAAACTGGCAGCGATCACCGAATAGTGAGAGGCATACTGAACGTAAACGTTAAGTTGGAGAGCTAATGAAGTCAACGCTCCGCTCCTTCGTAATCATATCCAAAGTCCCGAAAACTTTCAGCTCGAGTTACAAAATCGTTTTCAGTGCCTAGAAGAAATTCAATGCAGTGGACGATATGAATGAGAAGTGTGGAATCTTGTTCATGCGGTCGGCGTTAAGTTTTGAAAAACTTCCGCAGAAGAACACAAAAACCTCCGATCTCCGATCTCTTAATCTCATGACTGTTAGACGAGAAATGAAGCTGCAATCTTCAGCCGACTTGACAGCATACAAGCTACTGAACTGAACAGATCTTGACATTGATCTAGACAGAAAAGCATGCGGCGGAACTTACACAACTTCAATATAGTTCGTATTGAAGAAGCGATTGAGCGGAACCAGGGCTCCAAAGTCGTTGCCAGAGATCAATCTGCCAGAAAAAGCCAACCGTTGAAGCTGAAGACCGAATTTGGCAGCATCGTTTACGGAACACCTGAGATTTTGAGTGAGATTGAGAGGTTCTACTCGGATCTACTCTACTATGGCCAGCTGTACACATCATCGTTGAAGCTACATGCAAGTGTGAGTAATGATCCAAGAGCAAGTCTTATCCGACACTATTCCTATGATATCCCGGACGTCAGTTTGAGCGAAATTAAAATGGCTCTCCAGCACCTTAAAAATAACAAGTCCTCGGGTGAGAATGGAATTACAGCAGAGGTTCTGAAAGCGGGTGGAAAACCGGTACTTGAAGTCCTTCAGAGGCTCTTTAATTCCATTGTCCATGGAGGCACTACTCCGGAGATGTGGAGCAGAAGTACAGTGGTCATGTTCTTCAAGAAAGGCGACAACGCTCTCTTGAAGAACTACAGACCAATTTCCTTTCTAAGCCACGTCATTGCGAATCGTCTCGCACGCAGACTCGACAACTTTAAGCCTCCCGAACAAGCCAGTTCACTAAAAGGCTTTAGCACCATAGACCACATACATGCCCTTCGGAAAATTGTACAGAAGACCGAGGAGTACAATCTGCCACTATGTCTTGCGTATGTGGACTATGAGAAAGTCTTTGATTCCGTCGAAGGGTGGAAGGATTTGGGCGGTACTGCAGTACCTTCAGCGGTGCCAAGTTAACTGTCGGTATATCGAAGAGCTGAAGTGTTTGTACAGTAAGGCTAGGATGGTTATTCGAGTACAGAACTAGATTGCGAAACCTATCCAACTGCAGAGAGGTGTAAGACAGAGTGACGTTATATCCCCGAATCTCTTCGCCGCTGCATTGGAAGACGTTTTCAAACTACTGGACTGGAAAGGATACGGTATTAACATGTGGCAGGTGGAAAGAAAAGGGGAGACCTCCCACCGGGCAAGATGTTCTGCCCGGGGAACGGCCAACGCTCCGATTGGTAGTTCGGAGCTATTCTATATATACCGATTAACTTCGGAACTTTGTTAGTGCAATTTAGGCTTCGATGTGTTTTTCGCTTGTGGCGCGATGACAGCGCCGTCACATCACCCCCCTGTTCAGACCGGAGGTCGATAGTGCAGTCCGATTGCCGGTACGTCCTTAATGCAGGTGGAGAATGTATGCTGTGTTGGTAAGGGCAAGTGACGCCGGTGCGAACGATATGCCGGTGTGTAATGCATGCCGTACTACGCACTTGCAAGTGATGCCGGTGAGAATGATGAGTCGGAGCAAGTGCCAGGGATTGCCTTGTAGTCTGCGGTGAGTCGAGAAGAAGGCAAGTAATCTGCGAGAGTGCCGTGAAGCAGAGGCGAGCAGTAAGGCTCAGAGCCGTGTTGAACACAGTAGCGCAGAGAGTAGCTTGAAGGAACAGGAAGCATTATTATTCCAGTGCTGCGATGAATCTTTGTAAAGCTAGATGGCTTGCAGAATGTGAAGACTGCAGACAATATCTGTTCGAGAGTGAATGAATGGGGTACTTGAGTACAATGACGAAGGTTTTGAAGTTGTAGTTTCCGAATGTTGTTGGTTGCGTGTTCATATCACGTCGGTTGGTCACCACTGTGGCGGGTGGAAGGAAAAGGGCAGATCTCCCGCCGGTGATGTGGCGGCGTTGTCATCGCGCCACAAGCGAAAACACATCAAAGCCCAATGATATTATATATAAAAAAGTCGAAGCCTAAATTGCACTAACAAAGTTCCGAAGTTAAAGCGGTATATATATAATAGCTCTGAACTATCAATCGGAGCGTTGGTGGCTCCCCGGGCAGAACTTCTTGCCTGGCGGGAGATCTCCCCTTTTCTTTCCACCCGCCACAAACATCAATGGCGAGTACGTCACTCACCTTCGATTTGCCGACAATATAATCGTTATGGCAGAATCGCTGGAAGACCTAAGAACTAAGCTTAATGACCTCAATAGTGCCTCCTAATGGATAGGTCATGTGTAACGTCTATGTGACACCTATGCAGTAGTTGTTTGAAGCACTAAGCTCGAAGTTATTGACGAGTATGTTTACCTGGGACAAATTATCCGACTAGGTAAGTCCAACTTCGACCGAGTGGTCAATCCACGAATTTATCTCAGCTGGGCAGCGTTCGGGAAATTACGATGTATCTTCTCGTGAGGTCTTAAAACTTAAAAACGAGATTGTACAAGCAGTGTGTGTTGTTAGTGATGACTTATGGATCTTAGACGTGGTCCTTTACTGCTAGCCGTATGATGAAGCTCAAGGTCTACTCTACATTTTCACAGAGCGGGTTACTTCGACGTAATTTGTCCAGTGGCACTTTACAACAGTTGCACCCTTGGAACACTGATAGGTGAATCCTACAGATCGCTTTTCTCAGGGTAGGATATGGACTGCTGTTAAAATCTACTGTAAACATGATGACAATTCACGAACAATAAGTATAGGCGCGCCCGAAGATTCGCCCGATTTCTGGCCAAAACCGAAACCGTGCACGAAACTGGCCGAAACTGAAACCGAATCTTCAGTCGGACATTATACGTCGTTTGTATAATATGTGTTATTTATCTTGTGATTTTTTATTCTTAAATTTATCATGAAATAGTAATTGAACAGATATTCATGGAACAATCTAATAGAACTAAACTGCATTTATAAAATTATATATTTGTATGCCACTGGCGATATATGCTTGTGCTATCAGTAATTATTATTTGTGTAAGTAGCATATTTATTGCAAATAAATGATTATGATTGTATCGTGTATGGTGTACGGTGTGTGCGCGGCGTGCAGTGGGTGGCGGGGTGCCGCGAGGCGGACGGGCGCTGCGGCGTGGCGGAGGCGCGCTGGTCGGGCGCGCAGCTGGCGGCGGAGAAGCTGTGCGTGCAGCGCGCGCTGCTGCGCCTGGAGGCGGCGCGCGGCCGCCCGCCCGCGCACTCGGCCGAGCGCGGCGCCGCGCGCCACCTCTACGAGCGCTACCGCGCCGTCAAGCGCGCGCTCGCCGCCACGCGCACCGACGCCGTGAGTCTATTGACCCTTTTATACGTGCCAGACCCATGCTGCGGCTATATTATGGTTGTAGCACGAATGGGAGAAAGAACACGACCACCACAAAAGGACGCCATCATAGCTAACCTTTTTCGTTTTTCTGTAAGACTCAACCTAAAGTGCGTGAATTAATATTTACAAATTAAAAGACTCACATCTTTAAGATGTGAATCTTTTGATGATCTTAAAATAATCTTACTTGTTTCATTTTAAGTCATATTAAAAACTCGTTCCAACTTCGCCTGGATGGGATCTATTAATGCCGTGTCATAATTTTGTTTAATAATCATCAATGATCATTTATTTTATCTACTTTTCTATTTCAAAATTTTCAAAGCGAATTCTCCAAGTTTTTCTGATAAAATATACAGGGTTATTTTGAAACAGTAGCAAAATTTTAAGGTTTTAAGTTCAAATATATAAATAATGATATACCGTTATTACAGTTTTTGAAAATACAAATAAATAAGGCTTCTACTTTTATTTGAAATTATTGTGAAATTATATTATCCCAAATTGAATGTGGTTTATGGGTAATAACTACGCGTAAGCGCACTCCACTGTGTGCCATTCAATTCATAACGTTTTTGCCGATCGATCGAATCTTATGTGCAGTAAATTAGTAGGCGTTAGATATTTATGTATGATAATCAGTAAAAATAATGGATCACCACGCATTTTGAATTTAAAAGATAAAAAGGATGGAATGTTTGAATTTTTTTAATAATTTTTCTTCACCATTTGCATATATTACTTATCCTGAACCTTCTCTACAAATTTGACCGGCTATTGCAAAATAATCCTGTATATATATATATTAGATAAAATCACTCCATATTGCTCTATAAATTAATTGCAATTGGCTTAGCCATTTCGAAGTTTAGTACGTACAGACAGACAGACATACATTTTAAAAATACTTATTAATTTCTTATATGGCATGCATATGAGCTTATGGGCTCAATATTCATGCCAGTTATTTTGATATTGCAGACGGACACTTCAATTTAATTTATGGATTTTATATATATAGATTAACTTTTTTATGAACTACGTATAATATAGTTAATAAAACAGATCTGTTGAGTATCCTCTATTTCTTTAAATGATGTATGAAAAGGAACAGAAAATATCTCGATTTAAATGATTATGCTTCCTTAGTTTTTCATTGCGTCATATTTAACAATCATGAGCTTAAATAAACGTGAAATGAAACTAAACTAGTAGTGTTTGCCAAAAACCTAACAATCAATATACCTCACTTTCAGATAATTGGCGGCACAAACGGCGAGCTAGCAACAATTCACGAACATGAAACAATTGTGTTCAATAACAGTATAGATAGCTCCAGTGATTCGCAGGAAAGACATTCTGATTCAACACAGGTGACAACATAAATAATATATTTTTTTGTTTTTGTACTTATTTTATTAATTATATACAATACGGACATAAAATGGAATCGTAGAGTGCGTAGACCAATGATTTTGAAAGGAAGGATACGCCCAACCCCCACCTAAACATTTTACTTATGCATACCTTCTTCATACAAGCAACAGCAGCATTGAGTAGCATCATCTGTTATAACACATACGAAATACACGAGTGCCGCGTTGCGTTGGTCGACGACGTAACCAGGGCTGGATTTCGAAGTATACTCTTAATAATTATTCATAGGGTGTAGAATGTAGTATCGTAATAAATAAAATAAATAAAATGCATTTGTTTCTCAATAATACTATTTCATTAATTAGTGGTGAAACAACCCCAGATAGTAATTTAGTTCCTCATGTTGGGGTGTTTTACTCTTACCTTGGTGCTTAACTTTTATACTGTAGTATGCCACTATAGTACGCGAAAATACCATAATTTTATCTGCAGGTCAAAAGTAAATTACACAAGAAGAAAGGCTGTACAAATTATTTAGAAAACTTATTTAAGAGCTTGGATGCGATCACCTCATTCTCAAGGGTTATTATCAACCATGTATTAATTTATATTATAATAACCCTAGGTAGTAGATTCTCTGATGGTCCCTACACGGCAACTAGCAAAAGTAATTCTAAATATACGGTGGTTTGTAGGGGACAGCGGAGACGCCGCTGCAGTCGCCGGCGACGCGCGACACGGGCGAGGAGGTGCCGTCGTCCGCGTCGTCCGCGCAGTCCGCCGCCAGCGACGAGCGCGCGCCCAACGAGGGCCTGCACTGCCTGCCACTGGACGAGCTCGCGCGCGCACTCAACGAGGCCAAGCTTCATAAATGTGTATGTACTCGAACATCCAAAAAAGTTCCACGTGCTAGAGCCATGCTGCAGCTATATAATGCTTGTAGCACGAATAGGTCGTCTCGACCGGGGTAGGACCACGATATCACAGAATACCAACGTAAAATTGCTATTTTAAGCTGGTATTCTGTGAGATCGTGTCTTACAGTAACTTACAGTCTACCTGCTAATTAGTGGCTACCACAGCCCTTGTACACCAGGAAGTCAACTTCAAACAAAGAAAACTACAGAAGTATTATCACCTCATAGAACCAGATGAAATCATAAATCATCGTCGTAGCCACACACAAGTCAATTAAATGTAAGCTTCAAGCACACGCACAAAGGCACAAAACACAGCACACTCCATTCATCTCCAGAATCTTACCAGTTTGTGCTCCATCTAATATCAGGTCACACTACATTTCACTAACCGGTGCGAGGCTGCTCGAGGCTTAATGCTGCTGCGTTTCGTATAGTGAGTGTAGAGAACCGGAAACCCTTTTTCCTAATAACGAGGCATTCCATCTTAGTCCTCACGGGTGACAGCGCATCTGCATTTTGATTCTTAATCGACGATAAATGTAGATGACTATGGACCACAGCATCCACTTACCATCAGGTAAACTGTGTGCTCGTTTGTCACCCTTTTTCTATAAAAAAGTTTGCAGATGTATGGCGGTGTAAGAATATCTACTACCCCATATCGTTCCGTAGGTGTCGTAAAAGACAGAGGGAAACAAACCATGAGATGGTCAGCAGTGTCTTTCTAATAACAACTAAAAAAACTTGCGATTACATGCCGAGCGTGGCAACTATGGCAAATATCCTATGATGCAATCTATGGGGGAGGCCTATGTTCTGTGGAGTTTTGAAAAATTATAATGGATGGTTTTTGAAGTGAAAGTATTTGGCTGCCCAGACTAACGAAGAAAGGTAAAAAGAACACTAAGTACATTTTCAAGTGACGTCGAAAACATGCTCAACTTCTCGAAACGTACTTGCGCACACATCTTTATTTTTTTTCTTAATCAACCTTTCTTTCCTAATCGGTCCGTAAAATACATTGCTACACGCACACATAATGCACCATAAACCATACCAAACCATAGTGTAAACTGATAATGTTGCCTAGGCAGGTAAATTTCGATCATGACGGCAACTTTCGAATATAATGAAAAGGTCAAAAGCTAACCTTACAGGACTTATAATAGTAGTCTCTTTTACGAAATATTTCCTATAGCCGTGGCGCCCAGTTTTCGCAAAATTTGACCTTTGCTTTCAAATTCTATACTGTACATTTTAGTGTGCTCACTTAGCTAACGTGCCATCCATTCCAGATACGCAAGGGTTCCGGCTGGGGAAGTAAAACTCAGCGACCACAGTGGTAGCTCGGTGCTGTATACATAAGGGACTGCCTCGTAGGTCTAGTGATCGTAACCACTGCTGCCGATTATCTGGTCCCAAGTTCAAATCCCGAGTGGGACAAAAATAAAAATAAAAAGTTTTGGCTTATTCTGTCAAGATTTCTCGGTAGCAGCCCGGAGTAAGGAAGTTGGCGTTGTTTCATCTCGTACATCGGAAAGCACGTAATGCTGTTGATCTAATAGATTACTATATATTGTTTCAGGTTTTACGGCGTAGCATCAAAGAATATGAAGCAAATTTCGAGACGCAGAATAATAGAAAGGTACAAAAGGACGATAAAAAAGGCCACGAGGAAGAGTACCTGCGTTACAAAGCTATCAAGGCACGAATTAAACTACTAAATGCCCTAATAAATAAACAAAAATCTAAAGCTTAAACAATGTATGTATAAAAAATTGTATATAGCGCCAAATTTTCTGTCATTCTATACAATTTTAAAACTTTACTGGAATTTCAGTCATTTCCTAAGTTTATAAATTCTCTAACGTAATTTAAGTACAGCGGCGTAATAATTTTACATTTGGGTCAAACTTCACATCTGCTTAGGATATACATTCACATATTATAAAAACACAGTTGTACAAAAATATATAACACTTGTATACAAATGAACACAAACAATTGTTTCAGTATCTTAAATATATTGTATTTTGGCAGTTACGATTGTTCACTGCCTTACACTCTAAAATATTCTAAGAATATTTATTTTACGTTGATATTAGTCGGACCGTGCAAGGAATTACAATATTATGCAGTAAATTATGCTACAAACAATGTTGCAAGTTCCAAATAGCGACTCGAAATAATATTAGACAGTGATCAGAATGATGTTTAGCTTTTTAAATATATTTTTAAAGTACTTGATCACACCAATCGTCACGTTAATAATCATGACATTAAAAAATCATCATTATAAATAATCACAGTTGTTCGTTACACAGAACCAAGAACTTGGAGAATGTACGATTACTAATTACTTTGGTTACATTACTTGCTCTGTTAAAATGGTAAGACGCAGTCATTATATGATAATTTGAGCTTCGAGTGCGGATTATCTTCGATATTTTAAAATGCTATAGGTTACTATGCATGTCATAGTATTTTGTAGTAGTTATGTAAAAATAGATTCAGTCAGAAATTAGGCCGTATACAGAAAGAAAGCCGGCAGCCGGCGCCGATCTACCAGCGCTTATCGGCGCTGGTCTATTCTGGTAACAGTTACATAAAGCAAGCCGATTGAAGCAGAGCGCGTAAAATGTCGTACTCATCGGACGATGAATTAGTTTTGTTAGAAAATGTGTATTTGAAAATGCGAAAATAAGCTATACACCCTATTAATAGAGAAAGGAAACTTCACTATTCATTTCTCTATTTAACAAAAATATATGCGTGTCGTAGTTGAACGTGTTGTCGTATAGTTGTTCATCAATTTTAAATGGCGGGCGGCGCCAACGCTGACCGACGCGTGTCGAAGATTGTCGGAACTTATAGGCTACGCTCTGCGCTTATCGACGCTTATCGGCGCCTTTTCATATAAATTCCTGCGTCGGTTACCTGCGTGGACCGGTCCCTATAAGCGCTGATAGGCTGCCAGTTTTCTTTCTGTATACGGCCTTACACTCAATATTGTAACATGGTTTGATTTAAAGTATAAAGTTAAGAACTGGCAGTCCTGTTTAAATACAAGTACAATCAGTAGCTTTACATAATGTTCATAGTAATTACGTCAAAAAGACAGTATTGTACAAACATTGATATATGATTATTGTATTAAATTATATCGATTTTACTGTGGCAATCGAATTACAAGATCAAGTTATATCGAATTAAGATTGATTAGCCACTGACAGCAAGACAATCAGTTGGGATAAATAAATTGGTGTACATATCATAGAGATTGAAATTTATAAAAAAACGATGGGTTTTGTGTACATATTGGGCTAAATATAAAGGTGATTTCTCCTTAGCACGAGGCCCATTTTCAGCAACATGGACTGATGATGATGATGTGATGATGAAACGTGCGAATATTTAATAATTTCCCCCGTCCGCATGTAAATACTGTTTTTATTTTAATTCGTGAAAAGAATATGTATTTACTTACAAACATACCAGCAGAATCAGATCCTAAAGAGCACGTTATAGTACAATGTATAAGTTTTATTAAATTTTTAGTTTTTATTTTGAAATAAACAGAAAAAATATATCACAAAAACACGTAGCTTATTTTTCTACCGACTTCTAAACGGAGACGGTACTCAATTTGACAGTAGGTCTTTTTAATGTGTGTTACCTCATAACGTTTTACTGGGTGAACCGATTTCGATGATTCTTTTTTTATTTGAAAGCTGGGGCTTAACGTGTGTTCCCATATAAATTTGATCAAGGTCTGACCAATAGTTTTTAAGCTATTCTTAATAATTTATATTAAAGTCGATTGTACAAAATTTTTAATTTGAAATTATCTATCGAGCAAAATGCAAAACGTCTATTTCTAATGGTAGTTTTGACAAGGTTAGTACTTTTGCCACGTCATTTTTTTGTGTCCACAAACGCTAGTTACATTTGTAAAATTTATTTTAAAATGTTTGTTTATTGTTACCCAGTCTTAAACGATAATTTTATTTGTATGATATGAATAATGGGGGTAAATAGTACAGGACGTGTGATAAGCTAAATGAAGGATTGGCTTAATTAAATGTTTGTACGGAAATGAACTCAGGGGAATACTTTAATTTAAATTAGAAAAGATAATTTTATCATTTGCTTATACATGTTCTTTATGTACAAAGAAGTTTAAAAAGAATTTAAATCCCGTGTATTGTTTTGGCAATAAATACATTTAGTGGCGAACACAGTGTGATAATGTTTCCTTTACCTAGACAGTAATAAAAGAGTTGCTGAGTACATATGTACGAGTATCTCTGTATATAAAAATCAGTTGGTGTCCATTAGGCCAGCCACATACATTCGGAATTTCGTTTTGAAAAACCGATTCGATTTAAATTCGGCTTTAGTCTCGCAAAAACTCGAAAATGTCTGAACTGATTTTGATGTTTTTTTTTTTGTGTACAATTAAGTTGATTCGAGAATGGTTTAGATTCACACGTGGATCCGGTAGGTAGAGCTGTTGTGGAGATCGAGAAATCACCCGTGCAATCCGGGGTGGATCGTTAGTTACTACATATATATAACTAAATGAAATGGAATTTTTAAAAGGAAGGTATAAGTTATTTTCCGAAAAACTATCGATATGACTTTGTAATACTCAAGTAATGGCACATATATTTGTTTTATATCGATGTATGTATGTCAAAATTATTAAATCGTAAAACGGACTATTACTAATGTTTGTAGGTATACTAGTTTTATTTCTTATAAAAGCTGGAGACTTTGTTTACTTGGTACAAAACGCTTGTTGTTGTATTAAATTTCAAAAATGAGACAATTATAATAAAAAAATACTAGAGGAATTCGATGTAGAGATGCACACTTTTTGGTCTACATAATATTTAACAATGCTATTGGTGATTTGCTAGTTGGTGACGTAAGCTATCGCGACATTGTAAAACTGATGTTGTATGTAAAGACTTAACAAATAAAATGCTAAAGATTTGTCTGTTACAGATGTGTAATTTATTAATTCGTCGGTTTGTGAATTTAAAATATTTATATCGTTATGTGTATTATCCTTGTTTATTATTGTGACCCTCTCAAAAATGAGAGGAGGCCTGTGCCCAGCAGTGGTACGTATGTAGGCTGTAACTTTACTTACTATGTGTATTATAATTGTTATAATTTGTAGATGAAAATATTCTTCTGATTTAAAGTAATTTTTTCTATTTGATAATAATTACATATTTCTTCTTAGAGAAGAAACTGTTTTAGTTGTATTAATATGTGAATGATTAGTGATAAGTAATTACCTGTGATTTTATTATTATATTATCTTGTGTGACAAGATTTAACGCGATTTTTATAGCTGTTGTGGAATGAATTTAGTTTAATGGATATTATTTTGCTTTCAACAAAAATTCAAGTGCACAATTTGAACTAAATTTATTTAATTTTACTAAAATGATTGATCTAGTTTGAATGTGCACATTCAAAAAATATAAAAGATTAGATAATAATGACTGACTTGAATGACTTGACTATGGATGATGAATTGAATTATGAAATCTAACATTTTGCACGCTATAACACTCTGTAGATCTGAAGTGTATTTTCATCTAATGGAATAATTGGAAGTTGCGGTTGCTTTGACAAATCTCTGCAACTATTGTAAACAAATTATCAGTGACTTCAGTTATTCTAGTCTTCGGATAAAATGTAAAAAATATATGTATTATAGGCGAGTCTATTTCTTATTCCGACCAATCGGAATGTTACTAATTTAAGATTAAGCATTGTTTGAAAAAATTTGAATTTAAGAAGTCATAATAAAGTATAATATAATTACGAAGAAATAAAACACGTAGCATTCTATAAAATGTCTTACTTATAATTCATATTATACGTTTCAAATAAACACAGTGCCGAAAAAAAATTTAATGTCTTTAATTTATAAGTAGGGGTTATTCCTTATTGTATTTTCCTGTTTACGTCTGGCTGTCATCTACAAAATATTTTTTATCGCGGGAAAATGTCTACGCAGTGCCGACCGACTTAGTCCAGTTCACACAAAGTGCGAACACAAGACACGCTTTCCTCCATGGCCTCTATTTCCAACTGCGCGAAGCCGATGGTTTAATATTAATTTTTTTATTTTATTTAGCACTAACAAGTATTATACGCTTTACAAATTGTAACAAAATCACCTAATGGGCCTTCCGTGTACATTTTGATATTCAAAATTAAGCGTTATTGAAAATGGGCTTTATCAAGTAAGTTCATTCAAATACGTGGCGTAATAAAAAGCATTTTCGAATGTAGACAAGGGGTTTATTTTATTAAATTACGTTATATTACGTATATTAATTACAATAATACTAGAAAAATGTTTCGAGAGAGTTATCTCTCTCAGAAACAAAAGCAGTGTGGCCAGCAGTAGGACGTACGTATGTCGGTTGTAACTAAATTTTGTCGCCGTGGTTCAAAATTGGCCCGGAGGATATTATCACCAAAAACATTTATTAGACGACTTATTTTTAAATGATTTCGTATCCGTACTATTATTGAATTTAATAACACGAAAGGTCATGTTTGTTTGATAACGGGAAGAGTTTATATACTAATGAAATTCTACGCCGGAGTTACATATTGAAAATACCTAAATACGTAATCCGAATACTGTATTTCTTGAAGTTGACTTATTAAATTGATTTTAATAAGTCACTTAAACATACCACTTCTACGAATCAATTCCGTAATCTA